AGCAACACCCTTGACTTCAGACCTCAATTTTGGAAAGTTCCTTATTGCCACTGAACCCCTCACCTTAATACCCCTCTGGACCCTGCCCTCCTGGTACCTGCCACCTGTCAAAGGAGAGGACTTGTTCCCCTTCTATTTGTCTTTGCACCCTGATTTGGTGTGTGGCCTTTTCCTTGTTATTAAATAACCAGGATATGTGTTTATTTTGCTCCGGATGAAGAGTCTTACACACATAACAAAACAATAAAAGCGCCAAAGAGCACCTGTTACCTGTTCAGCCCAACTGTGCTTAACTGTATTGCCCACGTATTTCAAGGAATGATCATCTCACCCAGATACAGGCGCATCTGGCTCTTGACGTACATCTCCCTTTACGGAGTCTTCTCTGGGGCTCACGCAGACCTGACTTCCTTTATCAGCACCGTGAAGCTGTGCATCTGGCCATCTTTCCCTTTAGTTTATTCCATCACCAGCATATTGTATAAGGAAGGCAAGTGACTCAGAGTCTCGTGCAATTGATCAAGTAGGCACCCACATCTCCATTTTGCAGACAAGAAAAACAGCACTCATTCTAAATTCTCATGGTTACAAGATGGATCTCAGGAGAAAGCCGTTGTTTCTCTTTAGCCCAAGGAACTTGCCGTTATACCATGTTGCCCTCATGGTCGGATCTGTGACAGGACTCCTAAGAGCTCACCCGGGCTTGTAAGCTATCGGATCAGAGGACCTATGTTTTACACCAAGAAGACTCGAAATGGGAAAGTCGCTGCAGGAGAACTGGAGGAAGGAGAGCAGCAGGCAGGGGGCTCCAGGATCTGCACTGAGCCAGACACATCAGGACCAACCAGAGCCTGTTGATCTGTCCCCGAGATGGTGCAAAGACCAGGCTGAGAACTAGTCCCAGGTGAATATAGTTTCTGCAAAATCATGCTTCTAAAAAGCAGCTAGACCAGATCACATAGATCACACAGATCAGAACTCCAACTCGAGCACAAAAAATGGCCCAGGACCACAACATCCCGCTTCCAAAAGAGAATTTGTCAGAAGGAAAGGAGGCAAGGTGATGCTGCAAAGATGAAGATACGGCCTCAAACTTCACAACGTGGCTTCAGTGAATTGCTGCTACTGGATGGATACCCAGCTTCTGTTTTAAAGAAAAATAAACTTAACACTTTTTGGAATTTGGGAGGTAGGGGTTGGCTACTGGAAAAATTACGTTTTAAATGCTCCCCGCTTCCAACCCCATTCACATTTCCCTGGCTAAGTGGATAGTAGTCACAGGTCCAGAAGTTCTGCAATATAATCCTTTATTGGGTCGAAAATGTCCCTTGGCTAGCTCGACCCCAAAGCACTCTAAAATGTAACTAGAAAAACCCAAAGGAGTAGACAGGAGAATCACACCAGGGTTACGTCCCCACCTCTGGCCCTTGGGTCCCCAGAGAAGGACGACTGCCCCCTTCTCACAGCGCTTTGCTGAGTTTCAGGAGATGGAACCGGAAAACAGATGAAAACCGGGTGGGCCTGGCAAACAGGTTTCTGATGGCTGTGTGGTCCCCTCCTTGAGCCCACCCCGGGAAAGTGCATCTTCAGAGCTGATCTCACTGCTGCTGGCATGGGAGGGGAGACGCTGAGAACCCTACATTCAGGATCCAGGAACCTTCCACTCGGCTCTCTAACGGGCAGAGCGGTGTCCTCCCCCGGCCACGGTTCTCTGTGAAGCTGCCTCTCTGCACACTGCTGGCTGGGGCTGACGGGCACTCCCCCCAACTCACCTCTGCCTCTTACCTGTCCACTCACTGAGGCAGGGCAGGTGAGAGCCTGCTTGGGGCCCCCGGATCAGAGGGTAGCTGCGGAGGACTCCCCTGCTCAGGTGTGCCTTCTATTCTGTTTGTTTTCAGATCAAACGATGACCTCAGCACAAGAATCACCCAAGAATACGTCTCTATACTTCACTGAGGTCAAGTTAAACACAGCGGGGTGCATACGTTCCAGACTGGGTTCCATCTTCGCTGACCAAAGACGTGTGAGTAGCGATAAGCAGGGGAGGGATGAATCTGCCCACCGTCACCCTGCCGACCGCCCCTTGCCTGCTAAGCCGGGCGCAATACAACTAGGAAAGCCCCAGGGAAAGAACTCAAAGGGATAAAAAGCGAGGGGCACACACAGCAGGCTTCTCCTTTTCCTTTCCTTAGTGCCACCTGTCCCTGGACACCGTGCTTTCTGGCACTTTCTGGACATGGTGCTTCTGTGTGCTCTCTGGCCGTGCTTGGTCTCCCCACTTAGGGACCATTTGGGACATCTTCTTCTTCTGAGGGACCCTTACACTAGAGCAGGGGCCGACAAGCTTTTTTCTGCAAAGGGCCAGAGAGTATGTATTTTCAGTTTTGCAGGTCATGGAGTCTGTCACAACTCAGCTCTGCCATCGCGGAGCAGAACAGCCGCAGATGACGTGTGAATGACCAGGTGGCTGTGCTCCAATAAAACCTCATTTACAAAAGCAGGCAACGGGCCAGATCAGCCCATGGGCTGGAGTCTGCCATCCGCTGCACTAGGCTACCTCCTCCCTCTTAACCAAACCCGCCTGCCCCGCATCCCAGGTGGCTGAGATCTGCGTTCTAAGCCCAGCGATAACGTGATGCCCTTCATACCTTCCTGGGTGAAGGTGCCTCCATCCGCCTCCCCTCCCAGGGGTCACAGGTAAATTTATTAAGTGCCTCTGATTGTTCCACCCATCTCAAAGGAAGGGCCCCTATCCTGGCAATTCTAGACACGTTAGGGATCTAAATGGAGCCGAGGGCAGAGACAGTCACATGTTACCACATCTTCTCCCACCTGTTGGACCTGGCCTGTCACCACCTATGTGTGAGAGCTTTTCTTTCCATCTTCACCTGTGCTCCCCTTTGACCAGTGAAAATTCCACACTCTCTTTTAATGCTATTTGACATTAAAACTACATCAAACAGCTGACCAACAAGTTTGTTTTCAAACAATACACACCCTCCCCACCCCCCATCATCCCAACCACCCAGACCCTGACAGGACCTCTAGGGAGAGAGATTCTCCAGCCTCTCCTTTAGAATCACTTCTAAGTAGTTGAGCTGTTACTTGCAGGATCCCAGAACCTGAAACACTCCTAGAATCTTAGGCTGGGAAGGGATCCAGAACACAGAGTAGAATACCACTCTCCCACCTACCCCCCAGTTAAGAGGTCCAATGACTGCTTCCTTTACCACCTCTGCTGATCAAAAGGTCCAAACAAGGAAGAGCACTGATTGTCTAGGGCAATGGGGTGCCCTCTTGCCGCTGGGGCAACTTCTGTCACTAAGATGATGTCTTCGCACAACAAAGTTGGAAAACGGCCCTAAGCATCCTGGATAATTCAAACAACAGCTGTCCCTGTGGTTTTGGAGCTGTGGCTCACTTCTTAATCAAAAGGCATTTGGCCTACAGGAGAGGGGTCCCATAAATCACAGGAAGTTTCAAGAAGTTAACAAAAGGATTCCAGGCGGGAGGCGACCAGAGAGAGGGAAATCTGATCTTCGTCTGTTTTATTAAGTTAACATTTTTCTACCAGCATTTGTCTCCTCCTCTCTAAAATTCCTCCACTGACATGAAGGGTAAAGGAGCAAATCTATGGCTCACAAACCCTCGAGTGGGTGGGCCATGAGTCTCCCCCTCCCTCAAATATCAGCTTCAAGACCAAATAGAACACCTCCCCCTTCCTCATGAGCAATAAATTAGAAATAAGTTGGAGTTCACAGCTAGAGAGCTTGAGACAACCCTGATACAGGCTTTAAAAAAAGAAAAGATCGCATCTCAAGTTACAATATGTAAGCCGGTCTGGCTTTTTACTCAATATTATGGTTGGCTCAGTGGCAGGACGTGTTCAGAGACTACCTCTTGGTGTTTTAGGAAACATTTCGCTCTACCTTAACTGACAGTGTGGTCTCTGGAAGAAAGCAGGCTGAGTGGGGTTTTCATGCCAACTGTATGCACCTCTAGCATCCATGAAACTCTATGGACATCACACCTGAGCTCCCTTCTACTTATTCCTGGAGCAAGAGAACACCCCCTCATTCTGCACGTGCACACGTATTTTGGGTACCACCTAGAAACATGCAAGAATCCTTCCCCTTTGAGGCACAGTCTACGTAACAGCTATCAAGGGATTTCAAATGATCAAATATGAGAGAATATTTCGGTTAACTCTCAGATTCAACTGGTTTCACTGCAGACTTTCAAAGGAGCTGGGTTTGGAGAAGTGAGATCCGGCCACCAAGAACTGGAAGATTGAGTTCTGTGAAGACACTTAGACTCGTTCCAGTGCAGTTTTCCTTTCATTTGGCTTTTCTGGCTTGTTACCTGGCTGGCTGGAGGCTAGAACCACTGACGGTCTGGCAAACGCAGGTACAAACAGAGACAAGGCCTGCTGGAGTCACTTTGTAAACAGAGTTGACATGTGGGTAAACGATGTCGCAGTGCTCTTGCTCCAGGCCAGCTGATGGCTTCCCTGGGGCTTCACAGTCTGGGAGGCGGCCCATGCTACCTGCCAGGAGAGCCACCGCCAGCAAACCACTCCTCTGCCCCTGAAGCCAGCAGTGGACTGCTGCCAGTGAGCCAGGTTGGACTTAAATATTAACTTTAAAGGACTCAATGGACAGAATATGCGATGATTTGTAATTAATGTAACTGATTTGTAATCAATTACCTGCCTGATTCTAAAGCCAGTTTTGAGACCTGTAAGCCTAAAATTGTATAACCCAGAGCAGAAGGTGGCAAACTATGGCCTCGAGGCCCAAATCTTGTTTTAGTAAATGAAGTTTTATTGAAACCCAGCCATGTCCATTTTATTCGCATATTGTCTGCGGCTCCTTTTTGTTTTGCAGAGAAAGAGTTAAGTCATTGTGATATTTACTACCTGGGCCTTTACCAAAAAGTTTGCAGACTCCTGCACGAGGGAAGGATATACAGGTGAGATGCTGACGGCGACTCATTCCCAGAGATGGTCGTGTCCATTAGTTCACAAACTGACACAAAAATCAGATTCACCCTGAACATCTGATAGTAGTAGATTGGTTGGGGCAATCCTGTCAACTTTGGGTGACATGGTATGCAGCCATCAAAAATTACATTTATAAATCTATGGAAGACCTAATATTTCATTAAGTGAAAAGTGCAGAGTACAAAATACGTTCCTAATTAATCTCAACTAAGAAAAAAAATAAAAAGTTGTTTTGCAGAGAAAAATCACCAGATGAAAACAACACACCAAAACTTGAGCATCTGCAATGTGGGAACTTGGGTGATTCTTCTTTTCTTTGTTAGACTTTAAGGGTTTTTAAAAGCCATTTCTACAGTAAATACTACCTTTCTGAGAAGACATTTATTTTAAGACTATGAAGTAAAGAGTTCATATACTGTAGATTATAGTGGGAGAAGTTGTGCTTGGGAGAAAATTATCTTACTGCTGAGCTGCAGGCTGCCAAGTTAAAACAAGGAAAGAGAGGGAGGAAGGGAGGGAAAGAGGAGGGAGGGAGGAAGACAAAGGTCATCTGATTCTCTGTCTAAAAAAGGCTATTTCAGTTTCCAGGAGAGATGAAATATTTTCCTGGCGAAGGTTCTCAGGAGACTAGGTCCACATACATGCGTAGGCTCTTCAGCGATGGAAGTAAAGGTCGGGGAGCTGATTTCTGACTGTTCTTCTGATTGGAGATATTCTCAGATAAGGGTAACCATGAAGACTCTGGCGAAGGGTAAACAAGAGTGTTCTCCTTGGGTTTTGAAAAAAATCGAATGTCCCCCAAAACCAAGGATTAACCAAACATTTGTGAAAAAAGAAATTACCTGGAATGCTTGGTAAAACCTACCATACCCAAAACAATGGTAGTGTCTCCATGTGAATTCATTGCACAGTTCTGGCTGTGTCTGTGATTGTGCAAAGCTGCCTAATAACAAAATTGGAGCTAGAAGAACTGACCGGCTGAAGTGTTAAAAACAGAGATTTTGCCATTTTTCCCAGACTAGACATTGAAATGCTACATAGCAAAGTAATAGACACTTGCAGACTATGTGGTTAGCAGACCTTTCCACAGATACGCTTTTATTTTCTATTTACTTCTACACAAAGCTTTTAACCAAAGATGGAGAAAAGAAAGATGATTATTACATTGTACAAAATGACTTCAAACATAAAAGAAAAGGGAAAGACAAAGAAAATAAAGCCCGTCCACCTCTTTAATTCCATCTATTGTGAAGGCTAAGAAACCCAGAATTCTGCTTCCCTGACATCACACAGAATCTCTTAAAGTTAGAATCCAAGCCCTTTTAGCCAAATTAAATTGAGGAATGAGGTTTGATTACTGTTAAAAGCAGAAAGTAGGACAAACTTAAGAGACAGTCATATATCACCAAGTTCCCAGTCCTGGAAGAGTCTTTGAACTGTGAAAAGAACTACCCAGAATGAAAAGCAGAAGAAAGATGTGTCAAAAGCATTTAAATCGCCAGTCACACCATCCGCGCTGCTCACTCCCAGAGATCTAACACAGGGAATGAGGTCTCTCTACCTCCAGCCCAAGCGCAAAATAATCTTCTCACCAACAAGTTCAAGCACAGCAGTGAGTCTCCTGGTCTTGATTTAGATGAAAAGAGTAGCTGGGGACTCACAGCCAGTGAGTCCCTGAGTTAGCAATTGACTTAAAAAAAATATAACCTTGATCTGAAAATACATATATTACTTGCATCTCACCTCTTTTATACATTGCAAGGAAGTGTGCTGATGAAGAAAAAGGGATTTAGAGGCTATTTCCTTATAAAATGCAAAGACATACTTGAAATAAAATCGCCTCTCTTTGAGAGTGGCACCGTCAATTTCCTAACACAGGAGAAGCACTGGGTCAGCAATCTGGCCATGGTGGGGACGGAAACTTTCCTTAAAGTTGCATCTGCACAGCAAATGTACGGTTTTCTTTTTAGTTAGAGTGTTTGTTACAAATAATTAAAAATAAAGATGCTTTCATTTGTGTCAGATAAAATCAAGAAAGAAAACATCAATTTTCCATTTTAAAAGGAATATTATTATTTTTACTGAAGGTCGCTTTGGGAAGAGGGTGATGGAGATTACGAACATCAAAGCTCACCCCTCAACAAAGTCACCCCAAGTTACCAACAGTAAGGATAGAATACTTCATTTAAAAAAACTGTGTGAATGTAAAATGCTACTAACTGAAAGGTACTTTTATGTGAAAGAAGAAAGAGAAGGAAGGAGGGAGGAAGGAAGGAAGGAAGGAAGGAAGGAAATGGAAAGGAAAAGACAGGAGGGAAGAAAGACAAATATGAAGGTTTAAGATGCCACTGATTATAAGATGTGTCGTGATTTCAAAAATGTTAGGAGGTTGGGTGGGGAAGTGTATCTTAGACTTAATGAAATATGTTAGGTTTTTCAAATGAATGATATTCCAGAGTCACCTACATTTTATCAGTTTCGTCAGAAAACTTGTAAGCTGGAAAGGTTGTATCTCAGCTCGTTCAGGGCCGGCAAGGGTTGTTTTCTTAACTTACTAGTAACTCCTTTCTACAGATATGCAAAAGGATAATGGTAATCTGTTACCTGAGCTGGATGGAGACTAAATGGGTACTTAATGGTAATTAAACATCATGGTTAATACAGAGTTATATTTATCAAACAATTGAAATATAATATCATGCATTTAATATCAAGATGATATTTAACATTACTCTTTAATGGTACATATTTTTAATTTTTTTAAATATAGTTTATGCATATTATATAAATGACAGGTGTATACTATAGTGATTTATAATTTTTAAAGGTTATACACTTCATTTACAGTTATTATAAAATATTTGCTATATTCTCCATGTTGCACGATATATCCTTGTAGTTACTTTATACTTAGTAGCTACTTTAATAGTTTGTACCTCTTAATCCCCTCCCCTTATCTTGCCCAACTCCTTGCCCTCTCCCCGCTGGTAACCACTAGTCTGTTCTCTATATCTGTGAGTCTGCTTCTTTTTTGTTATGTATCTTTAACAATATATTTAATGCCTCAAAGTCGTAATTAAGAACACTACTGTCCATTACACAGTGAAAATGAAAAGTAATCATTATTAAATTATATGAAATTATGTATGACCAAATATATAATATTAATAAATAATTCCATTAGTAGATATTGTAGGGCCTTCACTACCTCTAATAGGTTCTCATCAGTAAATAGGGATTGCCAGACTTGGTGGGCCTTTCAGCTCAATATTCTGTTGCCAGTAACAGCCCTGAGACACCCGTGTTGGGAGGACCCAGCTCTGCCCTCTATCAGCCCCGATCACAGAGGCATGGCATAGATACTCTTAGCAGTGATTTATCATTACAGAATCCCTGTGCTTTTCCAGATCCTGGTGAATACACTTTTCCCTCTGAGCTGTACAAAGCATCATGAAGAAAGAGAGGGCCTCTGACAGCCCTCTAGCCCAGCCTCCCTCCCTCCAGATCCCTGAGAAATGATTGCTCAACCTCACGCCTGGTACAAAGTAAGCCCTCAATAAATAGCTGTTGAATGAGAGGTTACATCATTTCTACATCAATACTCAGAGTGGGTGGGGCCTGACCAGCCTGAGAAGAGACTTGACATCAAACGCTTTACTTCTGTTAACACAGTGTAAGATTCCATCACCTTTAATTCAGCTGCAACACACCATTGATTCACACTGAGTCAACTGAGACCACAAACAAGATGTGGCCGTCCTCCTGTATTTGGGGATCTGGTTCTTTGAATCTAAGAGTAGAATGTTATCTATGTCTCCTAAGGCAAGAAGTGTTTACCTTTTAAAGGCCCAGGCTGAGCTTGGATGACTAGTTGTCCTCAGAGCATAAAACAATACAAGCTCCTGAGGGCAGGACCTTGGCCATGTGGTTTACTATCAAGCTGCCAATGATGAGAACAATGCTTGACCCAGTAGGTGCTGAATGAATAATGCTGAGTGTGTGAGTCCCATCACATTTTATTGTACGTTTGGTCCATCATTTAAGTTGCTCAAGGTTCTTGGGGATCTTGACTCATCAGCTATAGGCAGAATTCCTCCAAGCATCCTACTGTCTGCTCCAAGGGACGGCAAGCTCCACCCACACACCGAGCCCAGCCCACCATCTTCTTTTGTACAACCCCATGCGCTAAGAATGGCTTTCACAGTTTTAGTTAGCTGGAGGGGACAATTCAAAGAAGAACAGTATTTCATGATGAGTGAAAATGATATGGAATTTAAATTTCAGCATCCAAAAATAAAGTTGTATTGGAACACAGCCATACACATTTATTACACCTTCTCCATAGCGGCTTCTGAACTACAGCAGAGTTGAGCAGATGCAACCGAGGCCACAGAGACCAGAAAACCTAATATATTCTCTGTGGCCCTTTACAGAATAAATCTGAGCACTCACATTATTACTGTCCTCCTCTTAATCATTATTTAAAATATTAAACAGAGCAAAATCAAGGACCGAAGCTGAAACTGCTTGCACACTCTGGAGACCTCCTTCCAGTAAGATTCAACCGACTTTTACCAACCAGTGGGTGTTCTTCAACTGGATATGTATTCTCAGATTGCATTTGGCTCCCATTTTTCCATCCTGTCCCCAAAGGCTCCATGGGATGTAGAGACGGTGATGGGTTTGAGAATTTCCTGAGTGCTGCAGCCCTCATTCTAACAGCTCTCCAAGGCAGGTAATAGAACAGGGAGGCATTCAGTCTCCGGCAGGTGAGGTATGTAAGTGAGAGCAGAAGACCATCACATCTTAGAATGCAACTCAGTCAACGGAACAACATGAATCCCTGCTGTGTCCTCAATGATGCGCTTGACCTTGGAGAATCCCATCCACAATGAGGAGCCTCACCTGGTCTCTGCTTTTCACTTGGGGTCTCCATCCCACCTCCCTCATATCCTGCTTATTGCCCTCTCTTTACACAAGGATGCCTCCTTATTGAAGCCTGAACTTATTAAAAATATATGTATTTCTGAGGCTAAATGACTTGGCAAATTAATTTCAGCCTTAAATAACAAACCCCCCTTAGACGGCAAGGAGGGACAAGGGAGCTGAGAAACTCTCTCTCTGCTGAACTATAGGGAAGAGATGAATTGATCTTCTGAATCAATTATCTTTTATTTCTCTCAAATAACCTATCATTTGGTTTCCATAAAGTTCTGGCCGCTGTCTTCTGGAAAATTCACAGAGCCAACATGAAAAAGGGAGGAAATGATTAAAGAGAATTTTCTCTCAATGCCACTAATTTGTTGAAGCCCCTTCAAAGTTCTGAGCAATGGCACCCAAGCAGCTCAGGTCCTGACTCTCTGGGATTGCCCCTGCCTTTTCACTCATCCTCTGGCAACTGCTGACTGCCAAAAAGAAGCCACGGTGTGGTGCAGGGAGCTGCTTGCAGGTGAGTCTTCAATCTGGATGGCAAAGGTCCAAAGCAGAAAAGGCCTGGGAAGATGTCCCATAACACCCAATTGCA